AAAAAAAAAAAAAATTTCTATGTTAAATAAAATTGAAAAATTGTAAATTGACTGCTTATTTTAATTTAATAATTTTTTATGACATTAAAATTAGCAGTCACTTGACCATTTAAAAATTTTTTTTTTTAACAAACAAATTTGTTTGGAAAAATTATTTTTAAAAAGTTGCATTTTTAATTTTAAGAAATTTTTACGTCAATTTTTTTTTTTCTTAATTTTTTTACCATAATTTATTGATACGAGAATTATTAAATATCTGCTAAATTAATTTTCACAATGATTTAATTTTATTTAACATAGAAATTTTTTTTTTCAAAAAATTATTTTTTAAAAATTGCATTTTTTATTTTTCAAAATTTCTTCATGTAAATTTTTTTTTTATTAAATTCTTAAAATGATCAAATATATGCTAAATCAATTTTCCTAAAGAAGTTTATGAAAATAAAGTTAGCAGCTACTTTACTATTTTTTTTAAATAAATTTATTCTGAATTTTTTTTTTTTTTTAATATTGCAATTTTATTAAAATTTCAAGAAGTCAATTTTTTTTCTTTTTTTTTTGACTATATAATTGATTTTTTGGAAATAATTTTTCAATTCATTAAATTTTTGTAAAAATAAGAAATTATAGTTAGCAGTCAATTGACTATTTTTTTTTCAAATAAATTTGTTCTTAAAAATTATTTTAAAAAAATTGCATTTTTAATTTATGAAAATTTTTAACATGTCAATTTTTCTTTCTAATTTTTTTGACACAATTTACTTCATAGAAAATTTTTTTTTAATTAATTTAATTTCTGCTAAATTAATTTTTAAAAAAATTTTAAATTAAAATTAGCAGTCACGACTATTTTTTTTTTTTTTTTTTTTCAAATAAATTTATTTGATTTTTCATAATTTGTTACAAAATTTCTTAAATTATTAAATCTTGTCTGAAAAAAGTTTCATATTATTTTTATTAACAAAGAAATTTGTTCCAAATAATTAAAAAAAAAAATGTAATTCTTAATTTTTTTTAAATTTCTCCTTTTCAATTTTTTTTTATTCAAAATTGACCGCCAAAAAAAATTTGACCATTTCGCCACTAGATGGCTTAAATATTGCCACCTACCCGCACTCAGACTTACCACTAGCCGATATAATAGATAACTTCACTCACTATCAAAAAACTTATTCAAAAACTTGCAGGTTAGACCAAAAGTAAATAAACTGCCTGTTCATCATCCTCGCAAGTGACAAAAATCTAAAACCAGGCAGAAAATGATAAAACTAACCACGGAAATAAACCTCCAGGACTTTATCCTGTTCCTGCCAGCAGTTGCGGTGGGAAATGTCGCGCAATTAGCGATTGACTTGCTAATAACTAGCCAAAATATGAAGAAAATCGGTTATGCTGCAAATTCCTGCTTCATTCCGATCCTCGGAGCGGATCCTTATGTCAAAGACTCGTCGGATCTCTGCACCAGTGCGGATTTCTACGTTCAGGAAAGCAAGAAGCTAGTCGCTTTGCAGATCCGGTCGCCTGCGGTTAAGAATCTCCAGGGGTTCTTTAAGGATTTGGGGAAATTCGTCGCCGATAATAAAATTTCAAAGGTATAACTTACAATATATGTTTTTATATAATTCATATTATTTTTAGAAAAGAATTTTCTTTTTTTTTTAAGAAACATATAATTGTTTGGAGCATTATTTTGTCCTAAGAGGCATTATTAATCCTGACGGTTTTGGAAATGCCGCAGATTCGATATTTATACGATATAAATGCTGTATATTCGCCGTAGTACTTCAGTTATGTTAGCCAGTTTTTTTGCCGATTAATTACAGAAAAATTATGAAATAAATTCAGAGTATTTACGGCAATACAATAGAAAAATTACGGGATATTAACAGCATTCAGTACATGGACCGCATATTTACTGTATACTTATTTACTCATCACCGAACTTTAAAAATCTTACAATCCGCACGCTTTACTTCCAATGATTCTTTGATTAGAATGAAAAACGTAAAAATTAATAGAATAATAATGAAATTTTTATAATCTGCTCATTTTGTACGCCTTATGGGGCGTATATCAACTTGTAATTTTGAAAAAATTGAAATTTTTTTTTTACATATTTTGAATGTATATATATTCGAGAATATTGTCTGTAAATTTAAAAGTAATCCGGTAAATAGTTTTGGAGTAATGAGCGTATTTGTAAAGACGTCTCCGAGCGTTTGAAAGTAGTTTAAATAATAGCCCAGATAGCAATATGACGTCTTTTACAGTTCTCAAAGAACTCTTATTTAAGATTTAGACGTCAGAATTTTGATCAAAATGAGGTCTCCAAGAGAGGCTTTGAGGACGTCCAATGCGCCACCTAAAGAGTGAATCAGGACTTCATAGAGAGAGTTCTTAAAGAGCTCTTTTTTCTGACTTCAAAAAAAGAGTTCTTCAAGAAGTCAGAATTAAGAGCCCTTTCTGACTCCAGAAAAAAATAGTTTATAGAGGAGACATTTTCAGTTTTAATTGTATTGTAATTAATATTAAAAAAGAGCTTAAATTGAAGACAATCAAGTACATTAAAATATATTTTCTTCGAAATTAAAAAAAACAAAAAATGGTATCGCTCGCAGCTTAGAATACGAATTTACTAGCGGTCACCCATCCAAGTATTTACCATGACTAATGCCTCTTAACTGCAGTGATGTAGTGTCCCCTGATCTGCCTTGGCTAGTTGCTCCTAATGAGATAGTAAATTTTTTTTCTCTACATAAGCTCTTATGTTCACATAAGATTACAAACGACTTATAGCAACGATAAATAACTTGATATCAACTTTTCTACCCAAAAATAAAAAAAAAAATACTTTTCGATTTAATTATCGATTTAATTTTTAATAAGTAGAATCACTGAACGTTTTGCTATTTACGATAATATTTTTATAATACAAAAATAAATACACAGCGAAATGAGTTCACTCGAATGCGATTATTTTTATTTTTTTATCATTTTAAAAATTCTTCAATAACGTGAAAAAAATTTTTCTAAGTCCCATATTTTGACGAAGTACAAAATCAAAAAAAAAACCTATTAAAGAGCTCCTATTCTTGATGTCTAACGAAGTCAGAAAAAAAGAACTCTTAAAGAGCTCATATTTCTGATGTCTTGGAAAGTCCAAAAAAAGACCTCTTAAACAGCTCATTTTTTTGAGCTCTTACGAAGTCGGAAAAAAGACTTCTGAAAGAGCTCATATCTGTGATGTCTTATAGAACTTAAAAAAAAACTTCTTAAAGACTTCTTAATTAAGAGTTCCGAAAAATAAGGTCTTTAAGACGTCATATTTGGAGTTCTCAAGGAAGTCTTTGAAAAGACATCTTTAAGAAATCCTTCTGACTTGGATGTTGTCTGGGAGCCAAAACTTAAATGCGTTTTTCTCGAAACGATGTTTTCAAAATCGGTGAGGAATATTTCTCCGAAACCGCTTGACTTGAAATTTTCACAGGATTTTTTTATATACTTTTGTCAGGTAATTATCGAAGGAATAAAGTTTCTGATAAAAATTTCAATTTTTTAAGTCACTTTAAAGTGTAAATTTTCGTGCAAAAAAAGATTTTTTTTGTTGGGAAGCCGCCATTTTGTCTAAAATCAAAATTTTGACTATTTCTTCGATCATTACTTGTATTTATCTATCCTAAAAGTAATCTTTTTGGTTTTTTTTATTTCTGATAATTTGTATCAGAGATATCTTCCTCACCGCCAGACACCTTTTTGTGGAGGACCTTCAGGAGATCTTCTACAGGAACGACGGAACCCAATATTTTTATTAATAAAATATGAATTCTTAGAATACGTTAAATTCGCTAAATGTTCATATATTTTAAGTATATATTCAATAAAAAGCCTCTCCAGAAAAAATTAACAAAAAAACACATTTTTTCGAACTTACAAGTGGATATAACCCCTTAAGGGGTAATTAATCGTATTACTTTAGTAACTTTGCAGCAAAAGTACAGTAGAAATGCTACGTAACTATAGTAAAAAAACTGGCCAATATAACCTCACAAATGCCGTATTATTTCATAATTATAACAGTTAATTTATGGTAAACACAAATATACCCCGCTAGAGGTCATTTTTGATCATTTTTCTCGCAGGTGGTGATCCTGACCAGCGCTTGGGCCCATACCAGGTCGGACATCCAGATCCGCACAGAGCCAATGCGCTTCCTGGCATCTCCCAGCTGCGGAGAGATTTTCTCCGGTCTGGATTTTCTGGAGCTTGAAACAACCAAAGACGAAGCAGGTCGCGAGGGCTTTGAAATTTCTGGAGGGGGTTTCGCCTTGAAATTGCACGAATTTTTATCAAACCAGGGGATTCCCTCGGTTGTAATTCTGCGGTTCTGCTCAGAGGGCGACAACGTTCCTGACGCGGTTGCAGTTCTTGAGTACCTCAACAGATGGCTGGCTTTTGGGTTCGACGCTAAGAAGGTTAAGTTCCCGGATTCGTGGGAGTTTTTGTTCGGAAACGCCGCGCCAGTGGATATTTATTAGATTTTTGTATACTTATATAATTTAATAAATGAAAATTTTTGTAATTAAATGTTAATTTATTTAAATATTAAAATTTAAAAATAAAAAAAAATTTGATTTAAATCTGAAACTAGGCGAGGAGCTTTGACTTGGCAGAAAAAGCTGCGTAGGAAACAAGAGCAGCAAGAGCTACTGCTAGAAGCTCAGAGTTGATCCAAGGACCCTGGTACACTCCTGGGTTGGTTACTGTCACCACGGCGAGTGGCTTTACAGATGACGGGTCTTCGTTGTTGCGGTGCGCTTTTCTGATTGCTGCGTAGCTTTCTTCGTCGTAGAGTTTTACTTCGTAGTTACCGGAATGGACTTTTTTTATGTCTTCAGTCCAGGATACCTGAAAAATTTTTTTAAATTAAATTTAGTGATGAAATATTTAATTTTTTTTTGTATTTAAATTTCTTATAAAATTTTTTTAAGACTAAAATTTAATATCAAGTTTTAGAATTAGAATTTTTTAATAAAAAAGAAAAATCAGAATTTTTTAAATAAAATATCTTAAAAGAATTTTAAAGATTAGAATATTTAAAACAAAAATTTTTAAGACTAGAATTTAATCATAGTTATTTAAGGCAGTAATTTTTTTTTTATTAAAATTTAATATCAAAATTTTTGAAACTAAAACTTGATATAAAAATTCTGAAAGAATTTTATTAATTTTATAATTTCATAAAATCGAAAATGATTTTATTGTTTCAGAATGTGTTAAAATAAATTCCTAAAGTTTTTTACAGTCAGATTTACAAATTTTTTAGAAGAAAGATTCATTTTTTACCAAAAAAATAATAATTTCGTTGCAGATTAAGAAACTCTTAAAATTAGCGAATTAGCGATTATTGAAGAATTAAAGCTTGAATAAAATAAAGTACCCAGTAGTTGAACAAGGTTCAAAGTAAAACGTATTTGACCCTACTTTTAATATATAAAGATGTAATTATTACAAATTAGTGATTTTCATGAAAATATAAACAATTTTGATTAGCAAAATAACAAAGATAGAATATTTATATTTTGACAACGTTTTTAAGATAGACTATCAAAGGAGTAGTAGTTGAACAATCAATTCTGACAAGCCTTAGTAGTTTAACACTCCGGAAGCAGTAGTTTAACTAATAAAATATATGCCAATAGGCACACCAAAAATTTTCAACGTTTTATTGAAATATCTAAAGAATTATAACATATTATTGATTAATATTAAAAATAATACTATCAATATTTAATATGTTCATTTAAAAATGATAAATATTTGTATTTAATTTTTTAATTACATTTTTTATGAATGACAAAGCAAATTTTCAATTATAAATCAAAAAAACTCTATTCAAAACGTTCAATAATTTATAACTACACTAATTTTTAGCTATAAAACTTATTTAATTAGCAGTAATTAATACAAATGACAATGCTGATCACTAGTCTATAAACCTATTAGAGATTAGAGTGCTGTTAAAATTATACGGCCCCAGCTTGTTCA